GGGGGGGGGGGGGCGCATTTGTCCTGCGGAGCCTCAGGTTGTAAGAGGTGGACAGCTACTCTTGGGCACACAGTTGGGTTTTCCTTAGATTGTCCTCATCAAGTTGCCAGTGACAGCTGCCTCATAAGCCTGTAAAGTCTGTGTTGGTGACACACCCAGTGTCCTGCTTGCCATGTGTAAGTCTGCGTGTGGTACACAGTATGGCTGTTAAGTCAGGTGGAGGGCTTGATTTTTTTTTTAATACTCGTGGGGTTCCAGGCTGATGCTTCAGTTCAAACCTGGCTCGATTCTGAAAACTCGGTGGTGACCTTGAGACCAGTCCCCTCCTTGTGTCCTCCCTCCAGGCATTGATGCTCTTTCAAGTTTCTTTTGCCTTTTGTATGGAAAAAAACAAAACAGTGTTTTAGAAGACAGCGGCTCTGCCTGGAGACGTGCCGCTTCCCTGCTGTATTGAGGGCTGCCTCGTGGCTGCGGGAGCTTGCTTCCCTTTAGTCCGCGTCTCTGCTCTGAAGTCCAGGCCCCGGCTCCCGCCCCCGCCTGCCCGCCCCGTTGCTCTGTGTGCTCCGTAGCTGCGATCTCTGCGGTCCAGCCTGCCTCCCCCATGGCGCAGGAGAGAGTCGAGGAGCATTTCCTCAGGTTGAATGTGGGATCGTGATGACCAGTGTCATTCAAGGAATCAGTGACCGGGGCCCGTGATTAGTCCAGCATCAGGAAGAGCAGCCACAGAACCTGTTTCTTCCACACCGTGCCCGCTCCCTCCCCCACCCCGGTCTGCTCCCTGGTCTGTTTTGGCTTTACCAAGTGTCCCTGCCTTCCTTGTCACTGGCTTTCTTTTTTCCACATTGGTCCATTTATCAACACTTCCTGTCCCAGGAATTTCTTCGTTATCTCGGGGCCATACCAACAGCCAAAACCAAGCCTGCCCACATCCTGTCTTGCAGCGGCCTTGAAGCTTCGTATGCTGCCTAGACCAAGGTGGCATTTGTGGTGGTTGCAGACTTGTCAAGGGAAAAACTGTGTATTGAGTTTGAAACCATAGCCAGATTCCTCACGTAGAGAAGGCAAAGAAAAGCCACTGAGCCCGACCGGGCGTGGCTCAGCGGTTGAGCGTCGACCTAGGATCCAGGCGATCAGGGTTCGATTCCCGGTCAGGGCACATGCCCGGGTGTGGGCTCGATCAATGACTCTCTTGTCATTGATGTTTCTATCTCTCTCTCTCCCTCTCCTTTCCTCTCTCTGAAACCAATAAAGATATATTTAAAAAAAAAAGAAAAGAAAAGCCACCAAAAGGCAGAATGGTGGGTGTATAAGGAAAGCCAGCTTAGTGGTGGCGTTTCTGAGACATTGTGGCCACTCGCCGTGGAGAAGAGGTAAATAGTCTCAGTGATTCTACTCCACCTTTCCCCAGGCTGTTTCCTGCCAGTGGGTCATCTGAGCTGATCCGAGAGAAGGGCTTTGTTTTATTAAAGGAGCAATTCTGAGTTTGCCCTTTTTCTGACCTAAGAAAAGTAGACACAAAAGTTAAAAAGGAATCTTGAAAATTGACACAAAAGTTAAAAAGGAATCTTGAAAATCGACACAAACGTTAAAAAGGAATCTTGAAGAAACTCCCTTCCTTTCCCCACAGAATTGGACTCTTGTAGTTATTTAACTCAGCATGGTGCCTGGAGTGTAGCTCCTTTTTAATAACTATGTCAGATTACAGGTAAACTCTGAGCATAGCATGTAGATGGGAATTGGTATTTGCCACCTCCTGCAACAGGAAAGCTTCAGAGGGAAAGGCATTTGTTACCAGTTTCCTTGAAGCAGTAGTGGCCTGAGTGTGTGCTAAGGATTTAGTTTTGCACTTAACTTTTCCTGAGTAGTGTCTTGTAGAAGGTTTACTGTAAGACGAGCTAACCTGTTTCTGCCGTTAGTATGTCTTATGTTTCTTGGCTTTATCTGCTATATATTCACTTTCCTGTGTTAAGCCAGAGCAAACCTGTGGCTGTTGGACTGCTGTGCGGAGCTCAGTCACCTGGTTCAGCAGCGTCTCCTGGGGCACCTGCTGTGAGCGCGATGCCGCCCTGGGTGTTAGGGGCACGGTTATGAGTAAGTCACACCAGCCGCTGCTTCCATGGCACATGTTTCAACGAGAAGACAGCCACTAAACTACCAGTTACACAGAGTTACTAAACGGCAGAGTAGTAAGCTCAGTTAGGGGGAGCGGCCAGCTGCGAAGAAAGCACGTAACACGTGGTCTGGTGGAGCCGGGCTGACAAGTTGGCGGGGAAACGGCGTTTTAGCTGGAAGTGAGGCACTGCCCAGAAGCTTCCAGGCAAAGTGCAGAGACGAGCTCTGGACAGAGGGTCCAGAGTGTGTGGCAGCCAGGCCTGGGCGAGGCCAGAACGCACTGGAGACAAAGTTGGAAGAAGGCCAGTGGGGCTAGAGGCCTGGCAGGAGCT